GGAAAGAGGATCAAGAAAAGACAGACAAAGAAGAAAATTTCAATATTATATGGATTTTAACACTGCAGGAGCATATTTTGTGTAACCAGTTAGATGTATATATGTCCAGGGAGAAGTCTGATTATAATTGAATTAGCAGGCAGTTGGTTAAACCAAGGCATTACAGGGACAGTTAAATTGTAGACAGAAGGAGAATAAAGAATACCAGAGTCATGAGAATGATGGTTTGTTTTTGTTTTGTAAGTCAAGCAACTGGTAATAACATGCAGCAGAAACATCATAAAATGAAACAGAAACAAGAAAGAACAATTAGAGGAGCATAAATAGAAATGACAAAGTATAGCATTCATTCCATAACAATAAAGGGATTTAGAAAGATAAGGAAGATACATGATTAACTAGATAAACCAATCACTACTTTGAAATGCCTATGAAGAGCCTCAATTTAGAGATGATGAAATAGCAGGGTGATTTTTTTCCCCAAGCTTTCTACAATAGTATTATATGATAATCTCCACAAAATTGAATACTCAGTTTTCCAATAATAAAGGAGCATCATTACATAGTGTACAAATAACACAGTTGTTTATAAGAAGGTTTTAAAGAAAGTATCATCTCATCAGATGTCAGTAACTTCTGTAAATTTAACTGAAAGGGAATGAGCCTTTCACTGAGGCTTTAAATTGTTATTTAGATTTGGGAGAAATTAATAAACTTTGAATAGTAACAAATATATTTCAGTTATTTTAAGAAAATCAGAAGTCATCAGAAAAGTATATATAAATGATTTTAATATAAAATGTGGGGCAAGTTACTGAAATTGTTTAAATGAATATGGTCTGAAAGTCCATGAAAAAACTACAATTCAATTAAACACAGATTCAGGAAGGGAAGACTTTAAAGGTAAACAGAGGTTTTTTTTAAAAGTGTATATGTATGTATATACACATTTTACTGTATATTTCCATCTACAAAGTTATAAAGAAATAAACCCCTTACTAAGTTTCTACATCACTAAAGGTCATGTTTTCCTTGGACCTAGTACAGGTTACAGTGGGAAAGGCACCAAACTGGTTCCTTTCCCTTATGTAAGAGCAAGATGCTAATTGTCCTACACAAGGGTGCACCATTCCAGTGCCCTTGGGGAATACAAGTTACACTGAAAGTGATGGGCAAAGAAAGGAATGTATGGCTACCCTATAAATCTCCTCTCATTGGCCAAGGAAGACAGAGGAATAGTCTCCACCATCCTAAACGTTAGTGCAGCATGCATACTTGCCCTTTGCACTGTGGGGCTTTGGGAGGAATTGTGTCTATTGAAGTATATCATTGAAAATATTTCCTTAACAAAAGATTTATTTAAATATATCATCAGTTTTCAAAACAGTTCTAAAGTTTGGCTCCTAAATCCATTATTTAGACACCTCTAAATAAAAGTAGCCTTACATTTGAAGTTGTTGAATATCTTTTGGTCCTGTGGGGTTAGTGGCACAGTGCCAGGTACATTGAATACATACATAATGTTTGCAATCTCTAATTCTGTATTTGCTCAATACAAGAGGAAAGATTATGTTACTATTCAAAACTACTGGAAAAGATATATTTTTCATTTTCTTTGGAAGCAGAGTTAGATTTGATTTTTTGTGTGTGCAATCTGTCTTCTTAGGTGACTTCAGATCTTTCAATGGTGGCTGGTGCTCCAAACCTTACTGTAGAAGCTGATGACACAGCTGCTTACACTCTGAATGTATCTGCATGGAAACGAGGAGTATTTAAAGGTAAAAAAAATCACTTTGTATATGATCGTTTTCATAACAATAATTAACAAGTACATATCTATAAACTACATATCTTTCCACAAACCCTACTCAAGTTTCTTTAACTTGCATAATCTAAAAATGTCCATATCCTGTCTTTACTGCTTACTGTGTTCTGTGCTAAAGAATACACTTTCCTCAGCCTGTGTACCTTGCTGAATGAGACAAGGGTTTCTACAGAGCCCTCTTCATTGTATATATGTCACTGACTACTTTATGTGCAGGGAACACTGTAATAGAAAAGTTTATGTTTCAGGAGCTTGGCATTTCACCATGTAAAGCTAATTCATTGCTTAGTAGTACATATTTAACCTAAATTAGTCACTTGTATTCCAGTGGAATAATCTTTCAGAATGTTTATCTGTAATTATTAAAAATAATGATAGTATTCAACTTGTGTGCATGTGTATGTGTGGTTTGAAAAGTCTATTACTTGGCCAGATTGAAAAAACTCCTATTATTTAAGGAGATGTGGCTATTTCTGCTATCAGGAAGGGTCCCACCTTTGCTGACTTCTGAAAAAAAACCATGTCTGTTGAGAATTGCACAAGAGCCATCTTGTAACACTAACTGGTCATCATC